CAGCATAAGCATCAGCAAAATCATCAGCATCAGCATCAGCATCAGCATCATCACCATCACCATGACCATCACCATCACGATCACCATCACCAATACCACCATGATCATCATGATCATCATGATCATCATGATCATCATGATCATCATGATCATCATGATCATCATCATCATCATCATCATCATCATCATCGTCATCGTCATCGTCATCGTCATCGTCATCGTCATCGTCATCGTCATCGTCATCATCATCATCATCATCATCACCATCATCATCATCATCATCATCATCACCACCATCATCATCATCATCATCATCATCATCATCATCATCATCATCATCATCATCATCATCATCAACATCATCTCATCATCATCATCATCATCATCATCATCATCATCATCATCATCATCATCATCATCATCATCATCATCATCATAATCATCATCATCATCATCATCATCATCAGCATCAGCATAAGCATCAGCATCACCAACAGCAGCATCAGCATCAGCATCATCACATCATCATCATCATCATCATCATCTCATCATCATCATCATCATCCTCATCATCATCAAGCTCATCATCATCATCATCATCATCATCATCATCATATCATCACATCCTCATCAATCATCATCATCAGCATCATCATCATCATCATCATCATCATCATCATCATCATCATCATCATCATCATCATCATCATCATCATCAGCATCATCATCATCAGCATCATCATCATCATCATCATCATTCATCATCAGCATCATCATCATCATCATCATCATCATCATCACCATCATCATCATCATCATCTCATCATCATCATCATCATCATCATCATCATCATCTCATCATCATCATCATCATCATCATCATCATCATCATCATCATCATCATCATCATCATCATCATCATCATCATCATCATCATCATCATCTCTCTCCTCATTCTCTTCGTCCCCTCCTCCTCCTCCTCCTTCCCCTACTCCTTATCAGCGTTCCTCTTCCTCCTCCTCCTCCGTCTCTTCCTCCTCGTCCTCCTCCCTGTCCTCCTCCTCCTCCTCCCCATTATCGTCATCGCCATCATCATCATCATCATCATAATAATCATCATAATCATCATAATCATCAGAATCATCATCGTCATCATCATCGGCAGCATCATCATGTCCTTCATCAGATCCATCATCATCATCAGCAGCAGCAACATCATCATCCTCCTCATTATCATCATCATCATCCTCATCATCATCCTCATCACCATAATCACCATCACCATCGTCATCGTCATCGTCGCCATCGTCAGCAGCGGAATCAGCGGAATCAGCATCAGCAGCGTCATCGTCATCATCATCAGCATCATTATCAACACCAACAGCATAATCATCATCATCGTCAGCAGCATCGTCATTATCGTCATCGTCATTGTCATCGTGATCGTCATCATCTTCATCACCATCATCAGAATCAGCATCAGCAGCGTCAGCGTCATCGTCATCGTCACCGTGACCGGGATCAGCATCACCATCATTAGCATCAGCAGCAGCATCATTATACATCACAATCGCCATTAGCAGCATCATCGTCATCAGCATCATCATAATCTTCATCAGCATCGTCATCGTCAGCATAGTCATCAGCGGAATCAGCATCAGCATCAGCATCATCAGTGTCATCATCATCATCATCAGCATCAACAACACAATCACCATCATGAACATCATCATCCTCAGCATCGTCATCGCCATCGCCATCGTCATCGTCATCGTCATCATCATCATCATCATCATCATCATCATCATCAGCATCAGCATCATCATCATCATCATCGTCATCATCATCAGCAGCAGCAGCGTCTTCATCATGTTCGTCATCGGCATCGGCATCGTCATCGTCTTCATCGCTATCGCCATCGTCATCAGCATCAGCATCAGCAGTGTCATCGTCATCGTCATCATACTCGTCAACATCATCATCATTATCATCACCATGATCAGCATCGTCATTATCGTCATCGTCGTCACCATGATCACCATCATCATCATCATCGTCATCGTGATCATCATCATCATCATCGTCATCATCGTCACCATCGTCATCATCATCATCACCATCGTCATCATCATCGTCATCATCATCAGCACCAGCATCAGCATCATCGTAATCATCATCCTCATCATCATCCTCATCGTCATCATCGTCACCATCGTCATCATCATCATCACCATCACCATCATCATCGTCATCATCATCAGCATCATCATCATCATCGTCATCATCGTCACCATCGTCATCATCATCATCATCATCATCATCATCATTATCATCACCATCACCATCATCATCGTCATCACCATCAGCACCAGCATCAGCATCATCATCATCATCCTCATCATCATCATCCTCATCGTCATCATCGTCACCATCGTCATCATCATCATCACCATCACCATCATCATCATCACCATCATCATCATCAGCATCATCCTCATCC